GGCAGCCCACCAGGCTCCGTCGTCCCTGGGATTCTCCAGGCAAGAACACTGGAGTGGGTTGCCATTTCCTTCTCCAATGCATGAAAGTGAAAATAGGTTTGAGGTCTTCTTAATAGGAAGGTTCATATTTTTTAAAGGCCAATGGAAATTTTACATTTAAGTGATATAATGTAGCACAGGCTAAGACAATATTTTACAACAATTGAATCTTTGTTCTACCAATGACCAGCTATGACTGTGGATAAACTTAGTTTTTCTTACTCGGTTTTATTTCTTATGCGAATAGTGGGGCTAGTTCTACCTATTCCACAGTGTCGCTACAATTAAATTAGATATTATGGTCATGTTTGAGGGCTTCTTGGGCTTCCCTGGTAGCCAACTTGGTAAAGAATCCACCTGCAATGCAGAAGACCCCAGTTTGATTCCTGGGTCGGGAAGATCTGCCTGAGAAGGGATAGGCAGCCCACTCCAGTATTCTTGGGCTTCCCTGGTGGCTCAGCTGGTAAAGAATCTGCCTGCAATGTGGGAGACCTGGGTTTGATCCCTGGGTTGGGAAGATCCCCTGGAGAAGGGAACTGTTACCCACCCAGTATTCTTACGTGGAGAATTCCATGGACCCCATGTTCATGGGGTTTCAAAGAGTCAGACATGACTGGGCGACTTTCACTTTTGAGGTCTTCTTTATTCTTCTAGGGTCTCTGGGAGAGAACTGCCATTTTAATTAACTTAAATAAAATGTAAGTAACCAAGAAGGACACCAGTAGTCTGATAAGTTAGTGGAGTCCTGACATCTGTGCCCTCCATAGACCCACCGGCTTGTAACTGGACAGTCGTTTTGACTGTAGGACAGGCACCGTCTTAGAAAAGCGTTCTGATCATATTCAAGCTCTCCTGTTATCCTGCCAGAGTCTGGGACTCAGCAAGATCCTTTTACCCATCTTCCCTCCCCACACTGTTACCTGCCACATGGTGCTGGAACTAGGCGTGGATTTTTCCACATATGCCAGAAGCTTTCAATCGGTAGCTGATTGTGGATCAAGGCAAAATCTAACGGATGAGACTTTAGGCTTCTCCAAATGCTAAATTCCACTGCCTGACTGGATGCTCAATCCCTGAGAAAATCAATCATCACATTTGTCCTGAAAGAGGTGGCTTTCCAAAAGTCTGGTGTAGATGCATTTTTGACTCCTTTAGGTATCTTCTGTTTATTTTGACCTTAATATATAAAACCATCATCTTTGAGATTACTTGCTGTCTCCTGAAAAATAGTCCCCCATTTATTCCTTAGAATTGCTGCCTTGGTCACAAAGCAAGGTCATTTGTTTTGACGCCTAGAGCAAAGCTAAGTTTTTACATTGTTAAGATCTTGGCAGGTTTTCAGTAAACAGGAAGGACAGGGGATAAATGTAGAATACAAATATGTGACTGAGAACATTCCAAAGTTAACTTACTTTCTCTCCGAGATCCAGAGTTGCTCGTCACCTCAGTGTAAATTTGGTTAAGAGTCCTGGTTTAGGGCTCTTTCAAATCCAAATGCTATGGCTTGAGAAGGAGAAGGAAAAGCCCCTTTTTACCTAGAGAATGCTGTGCTGTCCCTCTCCTGAGTAATGAGCTCCCTTGAGCCTTCCAAGCTGCTTTCCCTGTTGAAAATTCTGACTAAAGATACACAAAACTTTCCCCACTGCATCGGTCAATGTGGGAACCCTCTTGGGAGATGACTGCTTTTATGGTCCCTGGGTTTGGATCACCATGGATACCCTCCTTTAGTTTAACTATAATGGATTCCTTTGGTTAAATACTTATTATGTGTTCTGCATTATTATAAACACTTTATAGGCATTGCATGGTTTCTTGTTTTGTGTTTAGGGCCTCAGTTGAACTGAATTGATGTAATCAGGATTGTGGTTTTGAGGCCCTCAATCATCATTGTTCCATGCACAACCTGTTCAGTATTATTTTAATAAGTAAATACCTGTAAGCCATAATGTAATCCAAGTGTTGAGCGTTATCAATAACTTAAGTCTGCATGCTTATTCTCTAGCCTATCCCATTATCTATCCTTGAACTCCAAGGAGTAGCTTTATTTTAAAATCTGTGTCTTTTACTGTTTTGATTTAGAATATTTTAAGATTGAATGCTGTTTCTTGACTATCATGCCATTTTGATAGTTTTGTAAAAGGCCCCTGCTTTTTTTTTTTCATTTTTAGGTTAGTTATCTTTTGTTATTGATCTGTATAAGTCCTTTATATATAATTTGGATTTTACCAGACACTGAATCCTTTGGTGCCTTCATCTTGGACTTTCCAGCCTTCAGATCTGTAAAATTTCTGTTATTTATAACTTACAGGGCAGGAAACTGAAGCTATAAGCCTGGATGAGGAGGATAGGAGGCATGTGGAAGCACAAACCCTCAAACCCTCCTCTCTTATAGAACAAAATAAAAGACAAAACAGGTGGACAGGCATAGCAAAGCAGTAACAGAGTCACAGGTGCAGAGAACAAACCGATGGCTGCCAGAGGGGAGCGGTGCGTAGAAGGAGATGGGTGAGGGAGGTGGAGTGCAAGCTTCCACTTCCTTTCCGTCTGTTACCATTTCCTTTATGCATTTAGGTGCTCCTCTGCTGGCTGCATATATATTTATAATTTCATATCTCCTTGGATTGACCTCTCATCATTGTGCATTTTCCTTTTTTGTCTCTTATCACAGTCTTTAACAGCATATTTTGTCTGATATAAGCATTGCTATATGCCTTTTCTTTTGATTTCCATTTTCATAGAATATTTTTTTTCCATTCCTTCACTTTCAGTCTGTGTGTCTGTAGATCTGAAGTGAATCTCCTATAAGCAGCCTGTATATTAATCTTGCTTTTTCTATTTACTTAACCACTTTATGCCTTTAGATTGAAGCATCCAGTCCATTTATATTAAAATAATTATTGATAGTTATGTACTTATTACCATTTTGTTAATTGTCTTGTGGTTGTTTTTATAGTTATTTTTCATTCCTTTTTCTTTCTTTTGTGCTCTTCTCTTATGATCTGATGACTACAGTGTTACGTTTGAATTACATTATCTTTTTAAGTGTATGTCTATTATAGATTTTTGGTTTGTGTTTACCATGAGATTATATATAATGGTATATATATAAAAACCTAGTTGCTTTAGTTGTGTCCAGCTCTTTGTGACCCCATAAACTGTAGCCCACCAGGCTCCTCAATCCTTGGGGATTCTCCAGGCAAGAATACTGGAGTGGGTTGCCATGTCCTACTCCAGTGGGTCTTCCCAAGCTAGGGATCGAACCCAGGTCTTCCACATTGAAGGTGGATTCTTTACCATCTGAGACACCAGGGAAGCCCAAGAATCGTGGAGTGGGCAGCCTATCCCTTCTCTGGGGATCTTTCCTATCCAGGAATTGAGCCAGGGTCTCCTGCATTGCAGGCCAATTCTTTACCAGCTGAACTACCAGAGAAGTCCCATATACACACTACTTTATATAAAATAGATAACTGATAAGAACCTTTTTTTACAGCACAGGGAACTCTACTCAATATTCCCATAGGCTAGATGGGAAAAGAATTTAAAAAACAAACAAAAAACCCTAAAATGAGTGGCTACATGTACATGTACAACTCATTTACTTTGCTGTTGAAACTAACACAGCAATGTAAATCAATTATATTCCAATAAAAGTTTTAAAAAAAGAAGTGTCAATCTGTACACTAAAAAAAAAAAAAAAAAGAAAATCTGCCTGTAGGACTGCTGTGATGAGGAGATGATGGTTACAAAATGTTCGGTATAATGCCTGGTACATGGTAGGCGCTCAAGAAATGGCAGTGATTATTATTATTTTGATCATGATCATCATCATTGCTTGTGTGGTACTTAAGTCTAAGTGACCTTGAAGCACAGGTGGTTAGAGTGAGAAGGGACACGAAAGAAAATCTAGTCGGATTCTGTTATTTTATGTCTGTAGAACTGCAACCCGTAGAGATGAAGGAACTCGCCTGAAGTCATCCGATTTGTAGTCCCTTCCCCTGGGCCAGACCTCTTTTCTCTCTTGAGACTCATACTCCCATGGTAGCTCAGAAAGTTGGGGCAAAAACCCTCCTAATGTCGTGTTTTTAGTTTCTCTCTCTCAGAGCATAATTACTGGATGTTTGTTAACTTCTCGAAGTTCTCTAAATTAATCGACACACATTTTGAACTTTTTCTTAACTCCGTTTCTTGGAAAAGTTTCACACTAGAGACAAAAAGCCACTGGGAAATTTGGTCCCTTGATCACGGCATGTGACTCAACTTATTTTAAATAGTTCAAGCATCTCCATAGTGAAAAACCATCTTTGGTTTTCTAGAGAGCGAGTAGGTTTCCTAAAGCAACAGCAGGACCTAAAGCTTACTGGTTAGTTGTTTTTGGTAGCTATTTTCCTGTTTCTAAATAGTTGATTGAAAGATTGGCTATGGGACCAATTTCCTAAATCTTTCCCTTTGTGATTTATCCACATCACCATAGGCTGTTCATTTTCTAAAATATCACAGGGCTGTGGGGTTTTGTCATATGGTAGCAAAACTGATACTGCTAGTTGGCAACAGCAATCACAAAATGAAAATCACTAGAGATAATCCTAGTATTTCAGAAATAGTGCCTCAGCAGCCTGACCAAAAAATAGCTGTGTGACTTTAAGAAGTCAGTTAAACTCTCTGGCCCTCAGTTGCTTCGTGGGTAAATCGAGAAGGTTGAGTTAACAGTCTACAGATTTCTCTTCAGCTCTAAAATTTCTTCAGTCTCACCTGGCGTCTTGGCTGAGATGAAGTGGATTAACTCACTAAGGGCCTTTAGTGCAGAGAAAAAAGCCCAGTGGAAGGGTTTTGCTGTGAAGAAAACCTTCTCTCCTCAGCCCGGGACATCTGTTTGAGTGAAGAGTTCTTACAACAGAAGGAGAAATATTTCCTTTGCCTAAGGAGAAAACCCTTCATGTTCAACTCCGTGCTCTAATATTGAACATTACCCATACGGGTAGGTAATGGTGTTCCCAGAGGATTTCACAGGTTGATGGAATGTGAGAGGCTCCGAATCCCTGTGTGATCTGGGGTGAGTCACTCTTCCTCTTTGGATCTTGGGTTTCTCCTTCTATAAAAGGGAGAGGCCTGGACAGGATGTTTCCTAAAGGTTTTCTTTTTTTTTTTGGCTTTTACATTCTGGGAGTCCATGAAATACCACTTGGAGGTACAAAGTGGGAAGGAGGCTCTCGTGATGTAATTTGAGCTTATAGCAATAAGTCTTCAGGCTCTCTATCACTTTATTATCATGTCCTTATTAGATTTCTCTCGTTGGGACTCTATGCTCATTCTTGTGTGTGTGTTCAGCCGTGTCTGACTCTTTGTGACCCCATGGCTGTGGCCAGCCGGGCTCCTCTGTCCTTGGGATTATCCCGGCACGAATACTGTGGTGGGTCAGTTTCCTTCTAGGGATCTTCCTGACACAGGGATCGAACCCAAGGCTCTGGTGTCGCCTGCATTGGCAGGCGGATTCTTTTCCACTGAGCCACCTGGGAAGCCCCCAAGTTAGAGGAGAAAATTCTAACTAGTTAGGGTCTAGACCATCATTTACCTACCTAGGTTTTTGCATGCAACCCACGGGTCATTTTGTAATCCTTAATTCCACAGTAAGGGTTTTATCTGGAGAAATGATAGAGGACAGAAGAGGTACTTAGTTATGGACTGTCTTTCTCTTGGGCTAGTGGGAAAGAGAAACCAGAGAGAAATGTAAATAAATACCAGGAAGTCTGAGCTAATAGTAGCCCCTATTGATTGAGAACTTCCTATTTGCCAGGCAACCCTCTTAAGTGCTTTATATATTTTATCTCATATCTAATTCATGCAACAAACATGTCACATATGAATTGTTGCCCCATTCTAAGAAAATGAGAAAACCTGTTCCCAAGGACATGTGATATGTGATGACAGAGTTAAGAATTGGCTGCCAGCTGCAATACTTGCTCTTATAACCACTTCTCTAGACTGTTCTGGGAGGAGAGTGAAAGTCAGCTCAACTAGGTGTCCTTACTGTATTTTGTTTCCCTCTGTCCAGCAATCCATGAACCTGGAACTATTCCCTCCACCAAAAGATCATAATGGCATAGATTCAAGCTATCAAAAAGGAAATATTAAGTCAAACCTTATTACAAGAAGTTGATCACTTTTAGCTGTAGTTTACTGATAGTTCTATGCTATGCCATGACATTACATGTTGGTCAAGACCCTAGAACGAGTCTGGAGTGTCCCTATTGTGTCCTACATCCTGTGGTTGACAAACACTGAGAAAATGAAAGAGTGATGGGGTCAGTGGCCAGGGAAAGAGTGGGAACCACATAACAGACATAACCACATAAGTGACTCTGTAGCTTTTTTTTCCTGTGGGAGCCAGGAAAGACTTTGGTAGAGATGGTGTTTTTTCCTCTTTAGAGGATGTATGTGTGAGACACAATCTGACTGATCTTTTAAGAGGATCTTGCTGACTCTGCTAGCTGGAGAATATACTTTAGGAGAGAAAGTGGAAGCAGCAAGAGCGGTTAGGAGCATATGGTAGTAATCCAGCCACGAGATAGTGGTAGCTTGGACTAGGTTAAATAGACATACGAGGCGCCTGGGAATGGGTCACTTTGTACAAAACCTGGTTGTTGCTTTTCTCTCTTAAAAGTTGGCTTTCTTTACTTCTGGTGGCAATTAAGATGATTACTGTTACTTATTTTACATTTTTTCCCCCATTGCCCATAAATAAGAGGCTCCAGGAATTCCCCTGAGGCATTAATATTGCCTTTCTATTGTTCCTCCAACTTTGTTGAAGACATGCCCTTTTTGACGACCTTGTCCTGTTTTAGCACTCACTACACTACACTCTGATGTCTACTCTGGACTCTAAGGTATACAGACATATTTCTTCACCTAAGGATCAGTTACACCTGTAAAAATATTGTGGCATCAGAGACTGAACCAATAGCTAAGGCTATGTTTTTCTTTGAGCCATACGAGGGAGGGTACTATAGTGCTTTTATCATCACTAGAAAAGTGTCATTCATGTATTATGCTCTTTCCTTATTAGCTCTCCTTCCTCGGGTTCATCCCTTGCCCATGGTGAAGGAGGGTCTTCCTCCCTCTTCTAGACTGACCTGGGTTTCAGCCTTGACTTAACCACTCATAGACTGTGTTTCTTTGGGTAAGTTACTTAACCTCTCTGAGTCACAGTTTCCTCACCTTTCCATTCACTACCTCAAAGTGGTAGGAAGATTTACACGAGGAAAGGATTATAACATGTTTATCACAGTCCAGCACACAGCGGAAGCTGCATAAAGGGCAATAGTTACTGACACTGTAGCTTGACAATGAAAATGGTGAACATCCGGGGCTTTAGCCTTCTTAAGGCACGAAACTATTTCACAGCCTCTTTGGGTTGTTTTTAATACCTTCTTTCTTTCTATTTCCCTGAACCAGTAAGGGTGCCCCATCTTTTTTTTAAATTTATTTTTTTACTTGGAGGAAAATTGCTTTACAATGTTGTGTTGGTTTCTGCCATATGACAACATGAGTCAGCCATAATTATACATGTATCCCCCCTCCCTCCCCTCCCCCATCCCATCCTTTTATGTTGTCACAGAGCACCAGGCTTGACTCAGGGAACTCCATCTTGCTTCATCTCTCCTGCTCAGTTGTGTTTTCTGGGTGCTCCCCCCTTTTTAACCTTTTAATTCCCCATTTCTTCCCCAGTTTTAGCCAAGTAACTTACTGAGGATTCTCTTAGCATATTTCACCTTGTATATGTCTTCAAATTCTCATCAAGAGAAAAACTGGGGAGAAAGGAGGTGATTAATCTATTTCACAATGGGTGCAGAAGAGACAGAAGGGAAAAATAAGAGGAATGAGATATTTCAAAGTAGTTTTAAAAGCAGAGGAAGTCTTCACTGTTTTTTCTGCTTCATTAGTACATGTGCCATTTAACTGCGTGAAGTTGCAAGCTGCCTAAGGGTGAGAGCCATCTTTCTTCTTTCATACATCCTGGATCTCTGAGGCACATGGGAGGTCCTTAATAAAATATTTGGCCAAAGAATTAAAATAAATCCTTACCTCTTGCTGGCAAAAAAAAATGTTTCTCAATGTCTGGGAAACCGGACTGGAAGACAGAAAATAGCAAACTGGTGAATGTTTTATATTTAAATGAATGTATTATAATGTAATATATAATATACAATATTATAATATTATTTTTAAGTGAAGGTATTATATTTAAACTGTCTTTGATAGTAAGCTATATTCTCAACAACTCCTAGATTTTTACCTTGGTCTCCAGTGTCAAAAATTTCAAAAAATTTTGGTAAAAATTCATAAAGCTGTGGAATTGAGTGAAACCATAGATCTGAAATAATTCAGAAACTTGTCTAACTTATACAAAGAAAATATCAAAGGCATTCTTTAGAAAGGGAGGATTATCAATGGGATTGGCATTTCTGGGGAACAAAAGGAGAAAACAAGAGATTCAGGGGCAGAAGTTCACTTGAGAATTTCTAACACAAGGTGTGATGAGGATGGGATAATTGTTAGTCATTCATATATATTAATATATATTATAGTCTTTTTTATATATGTGTGTGTGTGTATATGTATATATATATATGGCTATTAATGCTGAAGATAGTAATTAATGCTGAGGATAGTAGGATAGTAGTTATTTTTTTCAGTGTGGTTTCCTTGAAATAACATATTAGAATAAAATAATCTGGTTCTTGTTCTGAATCCATTTCTTTCTGGAAGTCTTGGTTAATTCTCAACTTCTCTGAGCCTCAGTTTTCTCACTTAGGATATGGAGATTATAGAGTTTTTGTGAGGTATATTGAATCACATCTTGCATAAAGTGGGCTACTGAACAAACATTTACTATATTAGTGATCAAATAAATTAACCAGTCAGATACTGTGTGTGAAAGAGTTCCATCAACAGCAAGTGCTGAGTAAACATGAAGGACTGGGTGTTATGACTGTTTGTTTTATCACAGGTCTCATCTCTTAAATCCATCTTCTTCGAGTGATTCCATGGTGCGTACAAATAATGTAACTGAGTTAATTTTCAGCGGTCTTTTCCAGGACCCAGAGGTGCAGAGAGCGTGCTTTGTGGTGTTTCTCCCCGTGTACTTGGCCACGGTGGTGGGCAACGGCCTCATCGTCCTGACGGTTAGCGTCAGGAAGAGCCTGCGTGCCCCCGTGTACTTCTTCCTTAGTCACCTGTCGCTGGTGGAGATCAGCTACTCCTCCACTGTTGTCCCCAAATTCATCACAGACTTACTTTCCGAGATTAAGACCATCTCTATGGAGGGTTGTCTGGCTCAGATATTCTTCTTTCACTTCTTTGGGGTCACTGAGATCCTCTTACTGGTGGTGATGGCTTATGACCGCTATGTGGCCATCTGCAAACCTCTTCATTATATGAGCATTATGAACCGTCAACTGTGTTACATATTAGTAGCTGGTTCCTGGCTTGGAGGCTTCTTTCACTCCATAATTCAGGTTCTCATCACCATCCAATTGCCCTTCTGCGGTCCCAATTGTGTTCTTGATATGGATTTTGATTTTAGTGGGACATACACAAATGGCAGAACAAATGTAAGGACTTAATGTTACTGCTACTATGATTCTCCCTAAGTAAGCAAGAGCTTCCCTGATGTCTCAGCTGGTAAAGAATCCCCCTGCAATGTGGGAGACATGGCTTCAATCCCTGGGTTGGGAAGATCCTCTGGAGAAGGGAACAGCTACCCACTCCAGTATTCTGGCCTGGAGAATTCCATGGACTGTATAGCCCATGGGGTTGCAAGTAAGCAAAGATTCCCCACTAATCCAGTGTAATGATCAAAGGACAGAGGCCACATTGGCTTCATGATATCCAACAGCATCACGAGATTAGAAAATATTAAGACTCAAACTAAGTGCAAATGCAAAGGAGAATATTTTAACAAGTGTTTTAGGGGATAAATCTCTTATTCCCATGATCACCTTCCTTCCTTTTCTTCATCACTCCTTGCCTCCCTTCTTTCTTTCCTTCATTTCCCCCCCTCCTTCCTTCTTCATTGTCCCCTCTTGGTTCAACCTCCCTAGCGATGACAACTAACAGTTAAATATGGAAACCAAAAGAGGAATTATCATGGGATGTTTGGGGAGGAGAGTAAAAATCCGATCTAGTCTTCTGACATGGATGCCTGCTAAGTTAAGCAATCGTGTCCAACTCCTTGTGACCCCATGGATTGTAGCCTGCCAGGTTCTTCTGTCCTTGGGATTTTCCAGGCAAGAATATTGGAGTGGGTTGCCATGTCCTCCTCCAGGGGACCTTCCCAACCCAGGGATTGAACCCTTGACTCCTGCATCTTCTGCATTGGCAGGTGGATTCTTTACGTGCTGAGTCACCTGGGAAGCTCAGCATGGATAAGCGCATCTTTGAAAATTGCATTTGGGGATTTTTCTGTTCTTCTGGTTGTTTTAGCATCTTGTACCACAGATCATTTGAGTGCAAGTATCAGAAAAGCCCCTGGAGAAATTTCAGTTCCTCTGACATGTTGACGCAAAAGACAGCCCTTTAATCTCCTCTCACAATATCTACCATCAATAAAATAAAAACTGGGAAGACCCAGAGGGATCGGGTAGAGAGGGAGGTGGGAGGGGGAATCGGGATGGGGAATACATNATTGGGTGGAGAGGGAGGTGGGAGGGGGAATCGGGATGGGGAATACATGTAAATCCATGGCTGATTCATGTCAATGTATGACAAAAACCACTACAATATTGTGAAGTAATTAGCCTCCAACTAATAAAAATAAATAAAAAAAATCAAAATGTCATAGATTCTATCTATCAATAGGGAAAGGTCAGCTCAAACATCTCAACAAAGCTTTATCCACAATAAATAAATATAGAATTAGAAATTTCTTATTAATTCTAACTTGAAGAATAAATGAGAGGCAAGTAACGTCCACGTATGTTTCTACTCCATACTGTGTCCTTTATTCTAATTCTTCTGTTGATGCTTCTTTGGGATAAGCATCCTCTGTTGCTTAATTGCTTTAGGAACCTAGCACAGTAACTGGCACGTGGTAGGTGCTCAATAATATTTCTTAAGTGGATGTGGACTGTCACGTGACTTCCCCATTTATCTTTTATGCTGGTGCACTTCATTGTGTTAATGTATATCTGAAAGCATCTGATCCAGAGCTAAACTTATTGAAGCCCCCTTTCCCTTGATGCCTTGCTAGGAATGTAGGATGCAGGCTGTGACAGGAGCTTCTTACTCATAAGCAGCTTTAGTGTCTTCACTGAGAGCTACAGGAAGCATCATCAATGAACTCTGAGTCTCTGAATACTGCATGGGCAGATAGTATCTACTCCAAATGTGTTGCCATGATTCTCAAAGACTACCTCACCTATTGAGGGTTGAGACTTGGTGGATCTATTGAGAATTAATTACTCGCTTTGTTCTGGTCTCATTGGAAAAGCACAAGAAGCAGAGGAAAGCATTGTTTTCACTGTTTTAAGAGACAGAGAGCTCTGTTAAATTTTACAGATGCCTACTCAATTCACAGAAGCAGCAGTCTGATTAGACCACTTAGTGTCAGTGATCATATAATTAGTTCTCAATGGTTGATGCTGTCACAGCATTAAAAAATATTTTAAAGAAAATATAAAAAAAATTACTAAAGAAAATTTGATAGCATGCTGCAAACCATTTTGCAAGTACTACGTTTTCCCCATTTATTATTTGTGTTGTTTTTGGTATAGGTTTGACTGTATATAATGGTAAGGGCAACTTATGAGATAGAACTACAGAAGTACTGATGCCGCCTCTGCTGCTGCTGAGTCGCTTCAGTCGTGTCCGACTCTGTGCAACCCCATAGACAGCAGCCCACCAGGCTCCCCCGTCCCTGGGATTCTCCAGGCAAGAACACTGGAGTTTTCCAAAAGTCCCCCACAGAAATTTTGCTTTTATCTTATTCTACTGACATTAATCACATGGTGACCCTTAATTGCCAGGGAGCCTGGAAACTATAATCTTTTATTCTGTGTGGAATTGCTTTTAGCTAAAATTAGCATTCTGTTCTAGTCTCAAAGAGGAAGAAGGATTGGCCCATATTCTCAGGCACTCAGTTACACATCAATTTCCCAAACAATTAAAATTTTTTCATAAAAGTTATTTATGATGGGTTGGTAATATCACAAAGTTTAATTGTAGCACAGTTTACTTAATATCCACTTGTTTCAGGGCTTTTAGATTCATGTAAGAATTTATTCAACAAGACTTAATGACCATGTACTATGTGCCAGACATTGTTCTAAGTGCTAGAGGTGTATAATGATACACAGGAGGGAGAAGGTCTTGCCTGCATGGAGCTTATGTTCTTGGAAAATATTTTGTTTTTTCTGAAGCAGCTGTGGTCTAGATCCATGTTCTGTGAGAAGGCTCAGTAATGATGGAAACATTCTAAACCTGTGCTAAGGCATGGTAGCACTTGGCCATGTGGCTAATCAGCATCTTAATGTGACTCTAATGATGGGAGAATTGAATTTTAAATTTTATTTAATTTTAGTGAACTTGAATTTAAATAGCTACATGTGGCTGGTGACTACCACATTGGGTACACAGGTCTACATACTTCAGTGCTTCCTTTGCTGCAAACTTGTACCTATTTTTCTGAGTCGGGAAAATTGCTCCTGGCCCAACCACCCTGATAGGTGTGTGGTGACTACTGGGAGTTTGTTCCTTTTGACCCCCTCCATCCGTTTTTGCACACTCCTCACCCCAGCCTCAGACAAGTGCCAATCTGTTCTTTGTATCTGTGAGCTCGGTTTTGTTTTGTTGAGATTCCACAAATAAGTGAGAGCACATGGTATTTATCATTTTCTGTCTGACTTATTTCACTCGGCCTGTTCCAGTCTAAATCCTTAGAGGTATCTGAGATTGCTCTACTTCTTTGCTTTTCTGAATCAAAACATCGGCACGTCTTATGAATTGTTCCTTCAAAATATGTGCAGAATCCAAAAACTTCCTAAAACCTTTACTGCTCCTGTCCTGGCCCAAAACACAAGGATCTTTGGCCAGGTTACTGTGATGTTCTCCTAACAGGTTTCCTTTTTTTCCCACTCCTATATTTCCCACTCCTCTTCTCAAGATAGCAGACAGAGATCTTGGCAATATATAACCTTTCCTGACTACCTATAGTAATATAATAATAACCACCAGCTTTCCTATCATCCTTAACCTGTTTTATTTTTCTTGATAGGACTTTGTTGTTACTGTTCTGTTGCTCAGTTGTGTCCGACTCTTTGTTACCCCATGGACTGCAACGTGCCAGGCTTCCCTGTCCATCATCAACCCCCTGAGTTTGTTCAAACTCATGTCCATTGAGTCTGTGATTCCATCCAGCCATCTCATCCTCTGTCTTCTCCTTCTCCCGCTTCAATCTTGCCAGCATTAGGGACTTCTCCAATGGGTCAGTTCTTCTCATCAGGTAGTCAAAGTATTGGAGCTTCATGCATCAGTCCTTCCAATGAATATTCAGGATTGATTTCCTTTAGGATGGACTGGTTGTATCTCCTTTCAGTCCAAGGGACTCTCAGAAGTCTTTTCCAACACCACAGTTCCAAAGCATCAAATCTTTGGTGCTCAGCCTTCTTTATGGTTCAACTCTTACATCCATACACGACTACTGGAAAAATCATAGCTTTAACTAAACAAATCTTTGTTGGCAAAATAATGTCTCTGCTTTTTAATATGCTGTCTAGGTTTGTTATAGCTTTTCTGCCTATAAAAAGGAACATGTGTCTTTTAATTTCATGACTGCAATCACAGACCACAGTGATTTTGGAGCCCCCCAAAAAATAAAGTCTGTCACCCTTTCCATTGTTTCCCCGTCTATTTGCCATGAAGTGATATGACTAGATGCCATGATGTTAGTTTTTTGAATGTTGAATTTTAAGCCAGCTTTTTCACTCTTCTCTTTCACCTTCATGAAGAAGCTATTTAGTTCCTCTTTACTTTCTCCCATAAAGGTGGTGTCATGTGCATATCTGAGGTNCTTCCTAAGGCCCACTTGAGTTTGCGCTTCAGGATATCTGGCTCTAGGTGAGTAATCATACCATCGTGGTTATCTGAGTCATTAAGATCTTTTTTGTATAGCTATTCTGTGTATTCTTGCCACCTCTTCTTAATATCTTCTGCTTCTGGTAGGTCCATAACATTCTGCCCTTTATTGTACCCATCTTTGAATGAAATGTTCCCTTGGTGTCTCTAATTTTCTTGAAGAGATCTTCAGTCTTTCCCATTCTGTTGTTCTCCTCTATTTCTTTGCATTGATCACTGAGGAAGGCTTTCTTATCTCTCCTTGCTATTCTTTGGAACTCTGCATTCAGATGAGTTATCCTTCTTTTTCCCCTTTGCCTTTCATTTATCTTCTTTTCTCAGCTATTTGTAAGGCCTCCTCAGACAACCATTCTGTCTTTTTGCGTTTCTTTTTCTTGGGGATGGTGTTGATAGGACTATTGCTATC